AAGTGTGAGAGAGAGTTAAACTTAGCCAATTGTTTTTAGGGAAAACCATAGCTTACCAAAGAAAGAAAAAGAAACGGACTTAAGAGGGGAAGGATACGAAAAAGAAAGAAAAAGAAAGAAAGAAGAAAGGAAAAAGGGAAAGGCTAGGAAATCTTTAGGAAAGTTTAAATCCAAGTAAGTAGGTTATATGTTGCTTTATGTTGTGCCATAAGTTTCCATTATATATGTTTAATTGAGGTGGTGGTTTAAAGCTTTCTATTATGTTGTTATGTTAGTAATTTGTGTTTGATGGCGTGATGTGAAATTAATGGTTGGATTGTCTACGTGATGATGAATGGTTGGTATGTTTGTGTATCCATGTGTTTTGTATGCCTAAATATGTTTCGAGCATAAAGGTATTTTTCTATCAATCGACCGATGGAGGTAGACAAACTAGAGGCAACTGGAGTTTGTTTTGAGTTGAGGCACAAGCATGGCTGAGGTTTGAAGAGAGGTAGACGCCTTTCACCACTTGGAATGAGCTTAACACTCGGATGTTATAGAGATAATTAGGTCCGGAAGATGGCTTAGTTTTACATCAATTTTTTGCAATTAAACAAATGGGTACGAGTAGCAGAATATCAAGCAACTTTTGAGTTATTGGCGACCTCCATGATGAAGCTAGAGGAAGACACCATGACTACTATTTTTATCAATAGATTAGAGGAATAAATTAAAGATGAGCGTTTCATGTTGAACCCTATGGGCTCGAAAGAAAAAACCAAGTTATCGACCTAACACCTAAGCCAAAGAGCCCTCTTTAATCCACCGGAGGCTCGATACTAAAACCATCTTATGGACCCCTTCTAAACCTAAAACTCAACCTACCCAAATGCCTTTAAATCCACTCTCAACTCCTTCCATAATAACCCAACCAAGTAACCATAATTTTCACCCAAAAATGTGAGCTATTACTCGCTACTGGACATACCGACCACAAACTCACTAGAAACACCAAACCCATACCATAACACCTACCTAATTAAAGAGATTAACGACCACTTAAGCTCAAGCTAAGAGGAAAAAGGGGTTGTGCTATAAGTGTGATGAGAGATGACATATTGACCATCATTGCAAGAACAAAGCACTCCATGTGTTATTAGTTAGTGAGGATCGAGACGACGAGTGATGAACCTGGAGGAGACACTAGCGATTGAGGAGTTACTCGAGACAGTAGCTGGATGGGGTGGAGTTATCCCTAAACTCGGTGATGGATTATCCGAGCCACATACCCTAAAGCCGCGAGGTCAAATCTTGGGTACTAATATGGTTATGTTGATCGACCTGTAGGGCTACTCATATTTTCATTTCTCTAGATTTGGTGGAGAAGTTGAACATCCGGGTTTTGGATACTATGAACTATGGGGTAATGGCCAACAAAGGAAGGAAAAGGAGATTCGCAGGAGTGTGTTATTATAGCTACAAGAGCTCACCATTGTTGAGGACTACTTGCCTCTAACGATGAAGAGCACCGATGTCATGTTGGGAGTGAAAAGTCTTACGACCTTAGGGGTGACACAAGAAGCACCTCACCATGACCCTTAAGTTGGGTGGAAAATAAATTATTTTGCAAGGTGACCTAAGTTTGAGCAACACTTTAGTCTCCTTAAAATCTATGGTAAAGACAATCCAACAAGAAGGAGAAAGGATGTTGTTGGAATTATGTCACATATGGGCACATGAACATCCAATGGACAGCGACAGACTGCTCTTGAGGTTAGCTCCTTGTTAGGAGAATTTAAATACTTATTTGATACCCCGATCGAGTCGCCTTCCACTCGGGAGTTCGATCATTCAATCATCCTTAAGAAAGGTACCGAACCCATTAGTGTGCGTTACTATCGTTATCGTCACATTCAAAAAAATGAGATTGAGAAGCTAGTGGAAGAGATGTTGGAGGTAGGAATAATTAGGCAAAGTACCAATCCTTTTTCAAGCCCGAGTGCTCTTGTAAAGAAGAAAGATGGAAGTTGGCGATTTTGTGTCGACTATAGGGCTTTGAATAAAGCCATCATTCCCGACGAATTCTCATTCCTAACATTAATGAGTTGTTGGATGAGCTTAATAGAGCTCGTGTGTTTTCGAAGCTTGACCTCAAATCAAGATACCATCAAATACAAGTATATCATTCCTAACATTAATACGTTGTTGGATGAGCTTAATAGAGCTCGTGTGTTTTCAAAGCTTGACCTCAAATCAAGATACCATCAAATACAAGTATAACCTTAAGACATTCATAAAACCGCATTCGGACACACGAGGGGCACTATGAGTTCCTTGTCATGCCTTCCGGGCTCACCAACGCCCAAGACACATTTCAAACACCGATGAACTCCATTTTCAAAGGTACCATTCGGAGGCATGTACCGGTGTTTTTTAATGATATATTAGTTTATAGTGCCTCAATTTCATATCATATATTGCATTGAGGGAGGTATTGATGATCCTATGGGTGCACAAGTTGTTTGTTAATAGAAAGAAATGTTGTTTCACCCAAGATCAACTTGAGTATCTTGGCCATATTATTTCAAGGGAGGGAGTTAGGGCGGACCTAGAGAGGGTCCGAGCCATAGATGAATGGCCCATCCCACAAAGTCAAAAGGAGCTCTACGAGTTTCCTATGCCTCACGGGGCATTATCGATGATTTATGCATGGTTATGGAAAGATTGCAGCCCCTCTTACTCAGCCTATTAAAGAAAGATTGTTTTATTTGGGGGAGGAGGCAACTAAGGAAGTCTAGTAGCTGAAAACCGCCATGAAATCGGTCCCTATTTTAGCCTTGCTCGATTTTGATACGAGCTTCTTGGTGGAGACAGATGCTTCCGGGATAGGTGTAGGGGCGGTTCTTTCTAAAAAAGAAGGTTGATTGCCTTCTTCGACCAAGCCTTGACTAGGAGAGCTCGTCATAAATTTTTCTAAGAACGTGAATTAATGGCCATTGTGCTTGTAATCCAAAAATGGCACCATTACTTGTTGGGGAGACATTTCCTTGTCCATACCGATCAGCGGAGACTTCGGTATCTACTTGAGTAAAAACTTGTCACCCCTAAACACCAAAAGTGGCTCACGAAGCTCTTGGGCTACAACTTTGAAATTCAATACAAGCTCGGTCGAGAAAACCCACTGCTGATGCACTTTCCGGAGTGTCTAACTCGGCGTAAAGTCACTCCATTTTAGTTTTGATGTTATTGGATTGGGAAAAAATTATAGCCGAAGTCGATCAAAACCCACATTTGCAAAAGATTATCTCGAAGTTCCAAAGGGACCCGAACTCCAAACCAGGTTATACTTGCCACTGGGGACGCTTACGCTCCAAAGGATGCATAGTGATCCCTGCAGCCTCTTCTCTCAAACTCAATCTCTTATCCGAGTTCTACAGCAGCCCCATTGGTGGTCATGGTGGCTTCTGAAGATCTATAAACCGATCTCCCATGAAGTAAATTGGGAGGACCTAAAGATGGATGTCAAACACTTCGTTTCGCTTGTCATATATGTCAATAGAATAAGCATGAAACTTTATCTCTAGTCGAATTACTTCAGCCCCTTCTAGTGCCGTACGCCATTTAGGAAGACATTTCAATGGACTTCATGGAAGGATTGCCAAAATCCATGGGTTTGACTCTATTCTAGTGGTAGTTGATAGGCTAAGCAAATACGAGTCACTTCATTGCCTTGAAACACCCATGCACAATGCAAAAAGTGGCTCCAATGTGGTCAAGCTGCATGGTTTTCCTTGATCTATTGTGTCGGATCGAGATAAGATTTTCTTGAGTCATTTCGGAAGGAGCTATTTCGTTTGTAGCACAACTCTTTAAATCGAAGTATTGTTTACCATCCACAAACCGATGGCCAAAGTGAAGTGGTTAACCTAGGTGCTTAAAGGCTTATCTTCGTTGCTTCATGAGTTCTCAACCAAAAGTGTGGTATAAATGGTTACTATGGGTAGAATATTGGTTCAATTCCTTATATCATCCCTCTACCAAGTCTATCGCCTTCACGCTCGTATACGGTAGAGACCCTCCCCTCTCGCTTAGGTATGAGTTTGCTACTCCTACTCTAAACTTAAGTTTGGAGGAGATGTTGATTGAAAGGGATGCCATGATTGCTAAATTATGCGACCAGTTGTTACTCGCTCAAAATGCTATGAAGCAAAAGACCGATCAGCACCATAGAGAGATTGAATTTCGGATTGGGGATCGAGTTTACTTGAAACTCGGGCCCTATAGCCGCAATCCCTTGCTCGGAAGGTGAGTGAAAAGCTTTCTCCTCGTTTCTTTGGCCCTTACCCAGTCTTCGCGACAGAATTGGGAAGGTTGCTTATAAGCTTGATCTTCCTAATTCCACCTCTATACATCCCGTTTTTCATGTTTGACAACTCAAATGTGCTATCGAGAGCACTACTACTCGCACAACCTCTTCTTCCCGTTTTAAATGACCAAATGCGATGGGTTATGGAGCTCGAGTCGGTGTTAAACACTAGAATGGGCAAGGAGGGTCCGGAAGTACTTGCCGATTGGAAAAACCTTTCGCCTTCGAGGCAACTTGGGAACCATCCGAGCTTATCGGAAGCAATTTCCGGACTTCCACCTCGAGGACAAGGTGTCTTTCAATGGGGGAAGTATTGATAAGCCTCCAGTGCGTATGGTCTACACAAGAAGAGGAAAGATAGGCACTATCACCACCAAATGAAGGAAGTTTGTTAGGCCGATTCGATGACGAGAATGCCTTGAAGTGATGAACTGGCCGAGTTTGTTACACATAGGTACTTTATTATTTATAAGGGATACTGTGGGGTGCATGGGGGCATGAGTTTGTTATGAAAATATTCTCTATTGAGAGAGTGGGAGAGAGGTAGCCTCTAGAATAGCTGCCATTATCTTTTTCTTTCCTTACTGCCATTGTAACAAAGGACACATTAGACATCTTACACCAATAAACAATCAGTATTATTCATCATTTCTCATTCTCTACATTCTTCTACCATTCCTCTCTCTATTTCTTCTCTGTTTGGTTGTGGGTTCTTATCAATTTCCTTGCCCTTATTGACATTTGGCTTCTCAAAAATCACTTCTGAAATTTTCTTAGCAACCCACTCCTGCTTATGGTCCTCAGTAGGGGCTAATATCATACCTTCAAGACAATCTTGGCTCCTGATGCAAGGGCAGTTATCAGGAGTGTGGCGAAGGCTATTATACACTAAGCAATATTGAGGTCTCCAGGGATACTACACCTCAATATTTGAGATTTACCATCCATATCAACCTTGATATCATCAAGTAATTTTGTAGTGATATCAACTTGAACACACACCTTAGCAAAAGAAATTATTTTCGAGTATTGAGTTGCTGTGTCCATGAATAAAGGAACCCCACTAGCACTTGCAATACGGCTAAGCCCCTCTCTACTTAATAATTGCATAGGAGTACCCCACAACTTCACCCATATAGGAATTATTTTACCAAACACAATCTTCTGAATATCTCGACACCGCTGCCTAAGAAGAAGAGGAATATTGGCAACATGCCAAGGGCCTCCCTCGGAAACCCACATCATTGTTTGAACATTACGAAAAAGAAAGGAAAAAAAAAATAGCCCCTTATCGTTTATAATATCAATGGGCTCATCTCTTCCCCACAATGTTATTAACCACTGCAGAGATGACATTTGGTTTTGGAGCCTTACCAAGAAATTGACCAACCAAGTCGTCCAGCTTGCAGCACCATGAGCGATGGACCTTTGGAAATCGCCACGGTGGATTCTCCATTATCCATTTCTGGAGCTATGAAATCTAAATGCCCTGAATCACTAATAGGGGAAGAAACCATATCACTCCATTTACGCTTCTGATCTGCTTTTTGATTCTTTGTTGAATGAAATGGAGGAGTTTTGGCTAGTAAGTGTTGGGGGCTTGAAAGAAGAACATGGGCTTTAAGCAGTAAGGGCCAGGTGTTTTTGACTTTGGACTCAAAGCCCTATTAGGATACCTCTGCCCGTCCACATTCTTGCCACAGCAGCCATCAATCTGGGTCATACCCTGTCCGTATTACTCGGGCATCGCTCCCTCCTTGGACTGTATTTTAGGAAGGGGTTGCACCTTTGTTTATCAAGGAAGGAAAAAAAAACACAGAATTGTTTACTGTTTTTGCTCTCTTAAAAAAGAAACTACTAAAAATTTTAATTTTTTTGCATGCGTTGAAGTACAGTTGCCTCTAAGAACTGTCACATGATAGAGAGATAAATATGTTTAGCAAACAGTTACAAAAGAAAAGAAAAGGGATGTTTACAACTACGAATTAAGCATTTAGTTTTCTTTAAAAACAAAAAAAGAAAAATTGTTTTATCGTTAATCAGAATTGTAATAAGATTATATGACACCAACTACTTGTGAGTACATAACTAAGAAGACATAAAAACACAGCTCCAAAATTTGAGTTAATGTAGCCTCATCCTCTTCTCTTCACTCTTTTCTGGTCTCCTATGTGATTGGTTTTGTGATGCATTGGCATGGTTGTCTTTCGCCCTTTTGCTGTTCACAAACTCCGAAAAAGATTGAATGGATGGCAGCTTTGTACTCAGAACGGAACTTTCTGATGGTGAAGCGCTCATGGAAGTTTCTGATTGAAATGCGCTGTGGAGTTTTGGGGTTGTAGTTCCTGGCGACGGCTGCTTAAGCAAGGGTGATTGAAAGGTACTCTGGTGTTTTAAATTAGTGCTTTCTGGTGGCCTCTGCTCAAGCAAGTGTGATGGTGTCTCAGGAGGTTTTCCTTTAGACAGAGAGCTGCTAGGAGGGGCAGGGTTACCAGGACTGAGCCGATTTGTTAACTCTGCCAAAGTTGTAGTTGATAGCCACCTTACAGTACTTGCCACTTGAGAATAGTAGAATGTTTTCCCACTCCTCCAGTACTTCTTGTAGCACTCATTTTCAAGGAAGGAGGCTGCTGTATGAAGTTCAATGCTGCAAAGTAGAGTATACACAAATTAAATTCTATAACAGAGGTATTAAAAAATGTTCGTGTATGCTAATCAAATAACAGATATAGTGCAGTGGGCGAAGGAAAAGTCTGCTTGCTTTAAGTTTCCAAGCCGCTGGTGAGCTTTCTTCAGAGCATTTAATAATCTTTGTTTACTGGCTTCTCTCAGTGTTTCAGATATGGCGTTCTTGACAACTTTATTGTTCTGCCAGCCAAAAAGTTAAAAAAATAATAATAAAAAAAAAGATTTGAAGAAAGAAAATTGCTAGAGGGTTGACTATAAAACAATGGTCACCAAGCAAATCGAATAGCTCGTGAACCAGATGACAAAGAAATACATCTATTTACTGAATTAAACTGCACCAAGTTCAATTACGCATGTACATAGATCTTTAAGAGAAACTCCACTCGCCATTTCCCAGAAAGCAAATATAAAATGCATTTTAGAAATCTAGATATCCACAATCCTAACAGAAAAATTAAACTATCATACATCAATCTAGATATCCACAATCCTAACAGAAATATTAAACTATCATACACTAGAATCAATTATCATTTGCATTTACCCCCAGCTGCTTATGATCAGGACAAAAAAATAGATGCCATTAATTTTCTAAGGACAGAAAATATCAGGACAGACCTGTTTATCAGAGTTTCTATTCTGATAATAATTTTCTTCTGCACACTGCAACAACTCAATCTTCTCATCTACTCCTGATTTTTTTGATAATCTTGATCTAGGTAGGCTCCTGACGACTTCAGTATCATCTGCCAACAAAGAAACTAGCAAATGAGATAATAAACAAAGAAGTTAAGAATTTTTAACAACACCCCCAACCACTCCCAGAAGCACTGGAATTTTTACGAAAATGATTCACCATCAGAATCAGATATATCTTCCTCAGAACTTTTGGCTCCATCGTCACGATTCCAGAATTCGGAGAATTGTTCATCAATCTTATCCGTGGAGCTGAATGACAAAAAAAGAACCAAGCACATAAAGACATTTTAGCACTTGGAAGGTTTAACAAGTAGAGCAGAGCTGCAATTCCTACTATTAGTAGAACAGTAATAAAACTCTGCAGAGGAGCAATGGAAAATGAGAACATTGAAGAGCCAGCAATAAATTCAGCTCGTTCCAACTGGAAACAATGGAAGGCCAGAACCATAGAACAATGCAAAAAATCTAATAGCACAAATGGCTGCATTCTAAGTAAATCTACTTCAAGGAACAGAAGACTTTGAGGTTTAAGATAATAACACAGCCAGTTTTGAGGTTCCTGACATGTCTCTTTTGTAAGGAAACCAGATGCTTAGTTACTCTGTAATTTCAATTTAAATTTGACAAGTATTTTTTACTGAACTTTACAATAATAAATGATACACCAAAATATAATACAATAAGGACAAAAGAAAAGCACCTGCTCATAAAAACTCGAGAAAACTCATTTCTCTGACGAGCAGTGCAAGTAGTTGTAAGTTCCTCCAAATACTTGGTAACTAGATTTGAATGTTTGCAAGCATCACATGATTTTTTACAAAGTGAGGCAGAAACCTGTTTTGGTGAATGACAATAAGCACCCCAACTTGTGTTGATAGAAAAAGGCATCGTGAGGTTCGCATAGGAAAAAAAAAATTACCATGATTACATTACCTGTTCCCCAAAACTCTCAAGAATTTTTTTCCTTCGGCATCCGGAACTCTCACAGTACTCAATCATCTGAATGTAGTATGCATTTTACGTTGAGTATCATTAGGACAGAGTATGGATGGAACAAAATGACTTGATATTCACCTGGTTGAAGTCAGAGAGGGACTTTTTCAACACCTCGCCCTCTGAACTCAAGGACTGCAGCTTCTTGTTCTCAGCGTTCCTTATAATGAACTCCTGTCATATGGCTTCAACAGATTAGCAAAAATCTACTTTAGATACCAAGCAAGATGCCACCCTTGATAAATAAGCAAACCACTAACTATAAGGCGAAGTGATGAACCATAGAAAATACCATCTTTTTGCGATCATCAACACCATAGTACAAGAGGCTTTTAGAAGGAAGCTGATCACGTCCCGCTCTACCTGATTCTTGATAGAAAGACTCCATTGACTTTGGAATGTTAAAGTGGCAAACCATCCTAACATCTTTTCTATCTATACCCTGGAAAATGTTGATCACAAGTCATTAGTGTGGCACATGATAGCTGCTTAACTATATCCCATAAAATGTACAAAATAAGATTTCCAGATTCCAAGGCTCAAATTAATTAATGAGTACTTAGTTGCATACCATCCTGAAGAAATACCATTGTCTCAATTACTGGGCATGCACCAGAACAGCTCCAAACAGAAGAGTGGAAGGGAAACAAACAAAATCATCACAATCTAAGGTAATAAAATTACAAAATTGAAAGTGAAAATCGTTAATAAACAAAGTAAAAAATGATATTATGCAGGGCAAATAGGCTTTCATTTATAGAGTACATCTAACATTCCCATTGAAAGTTGGCATGCTTTAGAACAACTTCAGGGATCTATATTACTCTCAGTTGAGAAGTTTGCACGCAAAACAAAAGAATGCCAATTCCTGTTAGCTTAGCATAAAATTATGGAGTCAATCATACCCGAAAGCCACCGTGGCCACAACAACTTGTATTTTAGAAGAAATCCAATCATCTAAAACTGAGCTCCGGAATTTATTGTTCAAGCCTGCATGGTAAGCTGAAAAAAGGCCTAGGGTGAAAAAGGAACGTATTATAACAAGTGTCATGAAGTAAGAGAATATTTAACTACCAGCACAGGAAATCCCATTTTTGGAAAGATGAGCAGACAAGACATCACAGGTTGTTCGTTCAAGGCAGTAAACAATTGCACAGACATCCCCATTAGATTTGAGTACAAAGGATAAATCAGCATAGGCATCATCCAGAAGATCTTTGTATCGAACTGCATTATTGAGACATCCACTTAGAAGCACATGCAGTTGGACACAGTTGAGAATAAAGTTAGATTAGAATATTCTAACTGATACGACTGAGCTTATGAAACACATTTGTGTTCCTGAAACGAGCTAGCAGAACCCACCTTCATAATAAACATTTGGACGATTAAAAGAAGATTTCAGAACCAAAGGGTCTTGCAAACATAATGACTCCATCACGTCCTTCTGAACTCTGCAGATCAAAATAACACGTATAGAATCACCATAGCTCTCTACTTCTTTCTTCAAAAAATGAAACTGTTTTCTCTTGTTATGATTTAGAGTGATGTAAGACTGTTCGGAGAGAGTAAAGGATAAATTCAGTTCTTCTAAAAACTCACTTAGGAACAGCTGTAGCTGTCAAAGCCAGGATTGGTACATCTGGAAGGCGATTCCTCAAAGATGAAAGCTTACGATAGCTAGGCCTATTCAAAACAAACAAGTTATAAAATAGGCAAATAAAAGATAGTGAAAAAATTCCAAGATCATAAACTCGGTATGAGTGACAAAAAAAATTCCAGCTTTTTTTATGCCATACGAGGATAACTATCACATACACTCAAGAAAGGGAAGGAAACTTCTTATCACATTTATATACAAATTTCATTGCATTGAAGCAAATTTTTCTGTACACACAAACCAGCTCTGTTGGCAAAAATCACACCAACACCTAGCACAAACATTTAGATTAACCACATTGTCATTCTGGTAGAAGGTAAAAAGGACAAAAGACAGAAGAAGAAGATGAAGAAGAAAGAAAGAAAGAAAGAAAAATGCAACTCCTTACTCATTGCTAAAAAAAAACTTCTTCCTCATTACTCAAACTACTCTCATACCTGAAATCATGACCCCATGATGAGATGCAATGTGCCTGAA